TCTATCTATCTATCTATCTATCTATCTATCTATCTATCTATCTATCTGGCTGGCTATTTCACTCAATTAGTCACTCTAAAAGCAGGACCAGACATTGAATTGTTATTTTTTTGGTCTATATTGTTTTTTCATTGGACCTAGTAGCTAATTCAGTCTTTTCCACACAATTAGTAGTCCATGAATGTTCATGAATTGGTTACACTTAAAATTCTAGAAAAAGAATCAATTTAATTGGTAATCTATAGTAAAGCAGATGATTTGGATTTTCAGAGTTCTATACTGTTATGCAATGAGTTTTTAACTGACTCTTTGATATCCAAGGTACCTTCCACTCTAATTCCATGCTGCTGTATTTTAGAGCAGTTTAATTGTCATTCATCTTAAAGTTTTTGCTTTTATCTTATGTTCACAGAAAAAAATATTTGTCTTCAACAACTAGTTTTGTAAAAATAGTTTTATAACCCTGTACTAGGAAGGAAGAAATTATTGCATGGGGGAAAGGGTGGTATTATTATAAACATGTATGAATATTGCATTTCACCTCTTTGTCATCCCAGATGCTCATTTTTTCTGACTTCATAAGAGAATTAAATCCAAAATTTAATGACTCAGTTTAATTCTTTTATTGATTTTAAAGATATTATCAATCTGGAATATAAAAACATTTGAATAAAATAGATTTTCCCCCACATCTTAAAAAAATGAAGATCATTCATTGATTCTTTACACATTGGAATTTGACCATTACTACCAATTACCATAAGAGAATAAAAAGAAGTTAAAATTGGCCATAAGTTTTTACTGAAATCAAGAGTTAATGGATATTTTATAGCATGAGATTTTTAAAAACATTTCTAATTCATTTCCAAAGATCAGATAAATTCATGAGGCAAATTAGGAAAGGACTTTATTACCATATTTAGCTACTTGGAAATGATTTTACCAAAAAAAGGGTGAAAAAAGTGACCTGGTCTGTCCAGGTTAGTCCAATCAAACTCAAAATTTAATCTTTCTTACATTTTGCAAATACCCAGCATTTAAAACAAAGTCTGGTAGTAGTTTGCCAGTTTAAAATGTCGCACTTGAATAATTTCATTCTAAAACAGGGAAATTGGCAAAAGTATAATGAATAAGGAATAATAAACAGATTTTTTTATTCGGAAAATATAGGAAATTGTATCATTAAAATATTCAGCTTCATTTATTATCTGGTAAGCAATAAATTATTATTGAATTTTATGTTGAGAGAAAAAAAAATTCTTAGCAAAATTTTGGCCAGCATTTAGTGTGAGTTAAGCTGGACAAGCTGTAATGACAAATTTTAAAGTTAATAATATAGTATGTCATATTACTCCCAAGTCCAGAACTTGCACTGGTGGGTATTACATAAGATCTCAGTAAGAAAAAAAAAGTACTACGTTTTGGTAGAGCTGAAAAGATAGGGGCTAGGAAATTAGTCCCTTATGGGAACATTTGGTGGTGTTTCTTTTTTCTTCCCTCTTTTTGTGTCTCATTCAAATTTCTTCTGTAAACAAGCATTTTCATAAAATCGTCAAGCTCTATGAAGGTAAGGACTAAGTCTTAGGCCTAACTATATTTTGTATCTCCTTCAGTGCCTAAACCACTACCCTATATACAAGTATTTAATAGGTATTCATTGAATCAAATGGTTAAATATTATTTTTGACATTTTACAATAATTTCAGATTATCAGCCTTACAATAAGATTGTTTTAATGTCTTTTAAATGTTTCCCTGGGGATAGAGAAGCCATTTTATTCTATACAACTCCTGTATTATGCAATGCCAGAATGTTGCAAGGTGATGAGAATATATTATCCTGAGAGTATGTATCATTCATTTATTTATTAGACATTTCTTCCACACCCATAGTTACAACCCCACAGGACACGATAACTGATTGAAGATGAGAAGTAAAGGATAAGAAATAGTCAAAGAAAACCCTAAAGCTGAGAATGGGGCCAGAAAGGAGGATGAAGAAAGAGTTGATGCCCAAGAGAAGTAAGGAGGCAAAAGAACCCCTAGCTATCCTTGATGAATTCAAGTCACCTGGCTCAGACAAAAAAAAATATTCTCAGGTAATGAAATGTATCAGATATGATTTCTAAGCCAGCCAGTGAAATTTGAAAGGCTGGAAAATGGTAGAGATTACACGATTAGAGAAGGGTAAATGTTAGCTCTTCAAAGAAAGGGAAGAACACAAGAGCCACAAAGTATAGGATGGTGAGTTTGACTTGGTTTCTAGGAAAATTCTAGAATTGCTTGTTTAAAAGATGGTTAGAGAACATCTGGTCAAGAAAGTAAAGATTGCAAACCAGCAGCATGTTTTCATTAAATAAGTCAAACCAGACTTTTTTTTTTTTGAGGTTATTAAACTGGTTGATCAGAGGAATGGTGCAGATACAGTGTACCTAGATTTTACCAAAGCTCTGGATAAATTGTCTTATTACTCTTAAAGAAAAGATGGGGTGATGTAGAGATGCAGAGATGTAGTGATGTAGACTACTACCAATTAGAAGGATGTGGAACTGATTGAATGACTGGTCTCAAAGATTAGTCCTTAATGGGTCAATGTCAATTTGGCATGACTGGAGTATCTCAGGAAACTTTGCCTGACCAGTTCTATTTAATTTCTGAACATGACTTAGAAAACAACTTAGATCTCATGCACAGCCGTTTTGTGGAGGGAAGAAAGTTGTAAGGGGATAACGAACACTCTGTATGAAATATTCAAGAATGAGAAAAAGGATCTTGACAAGTTAAGTCTAATAAAATAAAATTCAATAGGGAAAACATAAAGTCTTACATTTGGGTTCGGAAAGAAACTTCACATTTACAGGATGAGTGATTCATGATTAGGTAGCAGTTTGTCTGTAAAATCTGGAGCCTTCTGTGCACTTTGCCAAAATAAATAATTAGGCTGCATTAAGAAAAGGATACTATCCTGAACTAAGGAGGTGACAGTTCTGTGGTCTTCTGTCCTGGTTAGTTCACATTTGTATAATTACATTTAGTTTAAGGAGCCGTCCATTTTAGAAAGGACAATGATAAGCCCAAGACTCTTCAGAGGAAGGTAACCAGGGTGGAGAAAGTCCTCGTGTTCACGTTGCATTAAGATTAGTGGAAAGAGGGGCAGCTAGGTGGCACAGTGGATACAGCACTGGCCCTGGAGTCAGGAGGACCTGAGTTCAAATTTGGCCTCAGACCAAACACTTGACACACTTACTAGCTGTGTGACCCTGGGCAAGTCACTTAACCCCAACTGCCTGGAAAAAAAAAAGATTAGTGGAAAGAAATGGGGAAACTTAGCCAGGAGAAGTAAAGAGAGGAGAGAGAGAGGGAAGGAGGTAAACATTTATATGACATC